ATTTGGCGAACTGGGAAAAACAGTTTTATTCAACTGATAATTTTTTACCGTCTGCGTTTTTCTACGATGAACTTTCAATTGTAGTGTTCATAAAATTGGAGAGATAAGGAAAAGAACTTTATGAACATTGTAGTCTAGTACAATCGAAACAAAACCAAAATTCACCCAACCGTTAAATTTTTGAAGACTGATTTGTTGATGTGAACTTCGTCTACCCCGTTTTGTTTTGTTTAGTTGTTTCAGTCGTTCTACGAACAGTCAATCCAATCTTGTTTTCTTTCAATCCCGTGTGCTCATATGGATTGACATTTAAGTCGCGACAGTCAATCAACAGAAGACTAGCCAATATTTCATCGCTGTTACCGAGTGAATGACCTTCAAAATCAGACTAACTCGCCAAAATGGATTTCTGTTAATGGAAGCCTGTTGCGATACCAACAGTTGTGCAGTTTGATAAGCGTAGCGAAGAACTTTATAAGAATACAAAGTAAATTATTATCGGTGAACTTTAGTTCTCGATCGACTCATTGACATTCACTTCTAAAGGGATTTGCACATGAAGGATCGCGTGACATTAGTAATTATAACGGAAAAGGCAAGAAGCGGGCCAACAACAGAAAGAACGTTTTCCTGTGTGATGTATCTTGAATAAAGTTGAACCTCTCCACAACGGCCACCTTTAGGACAGAAGAAAGTAGCCGTTGCGGAGAGGTAGCTGTTATGGGAAGGTAGGAGAGAATGTATGGACAGCCCGCCGGGAACAAAAAATGTGGCCGTTGTAGAGAGATGGCCGTTAATGGAGGTTCGACTTTATCTAAATCTATCAGATCGCATAGAATGTTTACAAAAACATTGTTTTGTTGAAGCTGGTATTATTTATTTTGGTACTTTTTAACGTGGTATAGTAGAAGCGTTCGAGTCGATATATATCTATATATTTGATAACTTTTACTTATATTTTTATATTCCCAATAAGTTGTTTTAATTTATAATTACTATGTTCAGTCCTTTTGATCGTTAGATTAAGTTACTCTTGCTCGTTGTGTAGTGTTGTCAACATGATCTTGCTCAGATGTGGATGGCCACACGCTTTAATATTAAAAAAAAATGATTGATTAATTGTTATTTCACAGGTGAAGTATAGATTTTTGTGGACAAACAAGTCGCTGGTGTTTTAAACATTTTGCAACTTCGATTGAACACTCATCCAGAAAGTCGAATTAAGGTTCAAATCAGTTGGGTTCAATTCTGCCGTTGGGGACACCTTGCTCTTTTTCATTGACTTTTTTTCGCAGATCAGCTAACTACTACTGAGCTTCGTGCAGCTCTTTGAGGCGATCAAAATGTCTTTGGATATCTGCAAAGTCCATAAAATCGTCTTCCCTAGGAGGAGATATGATTATGTTGTCTTGATTTTGTTGGCGACTCGGTATCTCTCTCAGCTTCGCTGCCGGGAACCCGCAGGTTTGTGAGTGTTTACACCCAGAATTTTTGGCAGAGCTGTCAGTTCCCTCTGCCTTCTGAGGAAAGGTGTTTTTCTTTTGTATATCTCTTCGTGAAGATTCTCGCTCAATGTCACCATCAGTTGTGACATTTCTAGCTCTTTCCGTTTTTTCTTGTTTTGGGACAGGTGCATCCTCAGCAACCCACATATCAACAGGCTCGAGATAAGACTCTTCTTGAAAATGTTCTAGATTGGTTTCTTGACCTCGCTGATTATTCATGTAAATGAATTCTTCTGTTTTCACTGAATGATTAAGGAATTGGTTGGTTGGTTCTAGATTATCTAATCTAAAAACACGTCCGTCATCTTTGACTTCAGTGTACTCATCGTCATCATCGCTCGAGTCTAATGCTTGCCTCTTCATGGCTGCACTCTGCGTCTCTGTCTTCAAGTGTCTTTCCTCAACTCCTCTCCAGTCAGTAACGTCCGTTACTAAGTATGCCAGACCCTCACCACAAGGAGGACCCCTTGGGGGTAGTGGTGGTGGTGGAGATGTTTTTCTTAGAGATTCAGGTTTAGGTGGTAGTTCAGGGCAATAATCGTCGGAATCATCTTCGGAGGAACTTCTACACTGAAGTGATAATTCCGAATTTTCATTCGACTCACGAAAGTGGCAGGCTTGCGTTTTCGGTGATGGATCCACAAAGTTGTTGAAATTATCTCCAGGTGCCTCGTTTCCTGTACCAAGGCGCTTTCTGGGCGTGGGAATTGGACGACGACGAGCTGGAGAATGGCTTCCTTCTGTGACGTCGTAGACTACGTGGTTTCGTCCGTTGCATGACATCGTGTGTTGAGTGGCGTCGTGTGGCGATGGCGTTGATCTTGCGTTGTGGAACATTTTATGAAGATTGAAAACTGCATCAGGAGCTTCCTCGTCCGTCTTTGACATTTCATCTTTCATTTTTTTTTCAATTTCAAAGTTTTGATACTCTTTTTCATCTGCAGAGGAACACCGTGACGAGGACCCCGACCTCACATATCCACATTCTGTTTCCAGCTTTGCGTCCACACAAAAACCTTTAGTTGTGCCATTTGTTATAAACGTTTTGTTTTCAGTTTTGTTCGGTTTTGAAAGTGAAGGATATGATTGAAGTAACTCGAGATTGAAGTGCATAACAGGATATGCTGTGAAATAATAAGACTTGGCTTTCAGTCTGTCTAATCGATTCAACGCTTCATCAGACGCCGCAAGATGCTTTCTGCATTTTTGTATCTTATTACTTGTTTTTGCCGTGAGTTTAAACTGGCAACCAACTTTAATGTCTAATGTTGTTGGGAACACGCTCAGCGAAAAATGGTTCTCAACCGAAGCCGCAAACACAATTTCAACTTGTCTTTCGCCCATTAAATGGATGTTTCCTAAGCTTGATAAAAGTTTGATGTAACCCTCAACATTGACTTCGTTTTGAGAAACAAATCGAACACTCACTGGCAGTGGATAGTCGGCCATAACTTCCTCTAGGTGGTATTCGCTCGCGTTTAAGAGCGGCTGAAATGTCCCTGATAGTTCTAATGGCAGCAGAACCTCTTTATAACAATCGATGTCACTTACTAGACATTTCACGTGGTTACTATGCAATTGTTCGCTTTCCAATAGAATCAGTGTTGTTTCTGAATTGATTCCAACCGATGGGATATCCTTCAGAACACGGAAATACTTCGTTTGATATCCAGTGCATAGCTCTCTCATTGAACAGTGCTTACTGCTGTGGTACCCTGAAGGAAGAAGCTGAAGCTTGGTTTTCGAATTCTTCGGTACACAAAGCTCTCGATTGAACTGATCGATCGCAACAATCATTTTTTCCTTGCTGACTTTGTAAATAAGGAGTAATTGGTCTGCTTCAAGCGTATCGTCAACATCAGGCCCAAAATATCCTTCTACGATATTGACTGCAATGGGAAGAGCAGAACCATAACATTGAAGGAATGTTTTAAGGTCTACAGCATTCGCTCTCCCACTGAAGTCCATTGTAGACAATTGTAGAACCTGACGCCCGACTGTATAAGCTGTGTTCAGCCGAAAGAAGGCGTGTAACTCTTGTCGTGTACGGTCGGATTCATTCGGGTCGTGTCAAACCGAAGGATCATATGACGACAAAAACACACCGGATATCCGATTGACAGAAATTTTTGCCCATTGTCCAAGTTTTGATTCCGAAGGCACTTGGGTTTTCACGATTGCTGACTGATAACTACGTTCTAACGAAATCAGTTACGTCCCTTATGGCTCTTGAACAATGGTATAAGTCTAAGCGAATAATTTAGGTTGGATTCGGATCGCATTACTAGACTGTGGGCGGATGTGAGGTCACGAGGATGTGTCCAACGTCAATTGTTTGAGTACAACATGGTATTTTTGTATTCAAGAGCCCCTTATAATTCCGAGAAACTGGAACATTTCTTTAAGCTATATCTTCTAAGGTCACTTTTAACCTAACCGCGAGTTACAGCGAGAAATTATATACTCCTGTGAAAGCAGGAAATGAACATTTTAGTCCACAGGTCAGTCGGATATAAAGCAAAGGAGAGAAGAAGCCAAAATAAATACTAAAAGGAAACAAATACTCCCAATATGATATCAAACTGAAGATGTTAACACGTTCAAAAATAGGCAGTTGAGGCTGCATATGGCTATTGATGCCGCGTCCCACATATTTGTGAGTACCCCGTTACTCAAGAGAAAGATGAATCAAGAATATGATGACTCATTGACACTCAACCAATAATTAAATGCTCTCTCTTCAAAGAAAACATTTTCCTTTCGTTTTCATGACGCGCCGATCGCACCTCTTAAGCCATCTCTACAAGGTGATTTTTTTCTTTCACGCGCTACTCTGAAATGATTGTGAGGTGTTGATCGTCTTTCGTAGTACTCGGAAACAAATTGTTAGTAGCACCGGGAAACTGTGTGACCAGGTGCTAATTCAGAGTAACATTCGCAACGATCCCAAGAAATAGTCACCAAGCGTTGAACGAACGAAGGTGTTCTAAACAGACAAAAACAAAGAGCAAGGAATGTCGGTAAAAACTCGGCAGATTTCATCGTGGGCTAAGCGGTCGTTCGTATTCTATTGTTACACTCCCTCACTCAATCAACAGGACAGCATTTGGCTTCACCTGCATATGAGGCAGTAGCCATAAACACTGATAGAGGCTTAAGATCAGAGCATGTCATCATCTTATCTTTTTGAAGAGAATTTGCACAAATTGGCACTTGGAACCCAAAATCAAGTTTCTAAAGGTTTTTTGTAACGAGGATCATTACAGGAGAAAGTTCGGTTTTAATGGTTTTAAAATTTACGTTTTAAAAGTGGAGATCAATTGTAAGAACTGAAGTAAATCTCGAAGTGTTTTCGGTTTCACTGCGTGAGATTGCTTCGAAGCGTCACAGAATAACTTAGTCACTCCGCGTAGCATAATGCGTTACTGGCTGTAAGCCAGCATATACAATAAAACGAATCCTACCAATTCATCACTTTAAAAGACTCTCAATACATCATCTAGAAATAGTTTTTTAATCATAAAAAGTGACTTCGAGAGAAATCGACAAAACCTGTAATTGTTTCGCGATACCATCGGTGTTCGCGCTTCGGGAGAACTTTCTCTTTTTGATAATGTCGGCGATGGAATCGAAGAAAGTGGCAGCAGACAGTCAAAACAAAGAAAATACTAAACGACTCTCATGAGTTAATTGTGCTAGTTTGATTTCTTTCCCGGCTCTCGAAATAAACAAGTCATTCTTGATTCTCAAAACATCGCATATTTGTGCGATGTGATAAATCCTTTCATTAAACAATGTTGGTCGGTCAAAATGGCTGGAAATTAGCCTCCTACTTTTTTTGTGCTATTATGGACCTCGATTTCGTCTCGGTCCTTAAAAAACGCATAAATAGAACTCGTCCAATATCCAGCCATCTCGGACTCACACTTGGTCAATAACACTTATATTGTTTATGAAATCGAAAAGAAAACAGTTCAGTGATATTTACAACAACAAAATAATGGGTTAAATTCAAACGTAGCAAACCCTATGAATACCGATCGAAAACTAAATGTGTTTATAAAAAGTTCGTAATATCCTGAAATGATTGTTCGTATACTTCCAAACACTCCACCTCGGTCACATCATGACAACTGATTTGAGAGTATTTACTCAATATCTTCTCATTCACTAATCAAATGTCAAAGAGTTACGTAGCCTGCTCTGCATACTCCAAGAAATGGTTACCAAGGGAGAAGATTTCACTCGCTAGTGATTTCAGGTACAGGTAGTTCATGCAAGTTACAGCTTTCTTGCTCGCCAGTGGTTTTTCCTTTATGTCTTTTTTTCATTATTTGGAGCACATTCTCTTTGAGGTTTTCTAAATCACTTACTTCATCTTCTACATTGACATAAACAGAGTCTTCCTCTTCGCTCGGGTTGTCAAGCTGCAGATAACGCGATACTCGTTCGCCTTTTGTCACCTCTACAAAGTTGGAGAAGATTGCACCAAGTCTGTCTCCATCGTCTTTCTCACTGACACGATTCACTTCCACATACTGATAGGGGTCGTCATCCATATCACAGTACGCAAATTCGTCTTCATGAAAGTTTTTGAGTGACATTTTTGGTTCTTGATTGATATAATGTCTGTCGGAACATTCTTCGTAATCGTCGTCATCGTCCGAATTTGAATTATAGAATTTGTCTTGGACTTGTTTTGGGACAGTATTGAAACAATCGTCTTGATCACGCTTTGAATTCCTACAACCCATGTTCTGAAGCGGTTTTGAAGGCAAACTCACTCTGCAGACCTCTATGCTCATATCTTGGTAGGTCTGGTCTTCGTTGTCGTCAGAGTCTTGAGTGTGGAATCGGACCATTTCTCCCTGCCTATGGAGATCATTGGGACAGCCTTCCCTTTCAAGCTTCGCCTTCAAAGTACCAACGTTCTTGGGTGGGGGTGAGGGCAGTCTTGCTTGTTTAGGCTGTGTTTTCCCTATAGAATTGTCTTGTTTGTCTAATTTGACTTTTCTCTGCGAATGTTCACAAAATGGTGTGGATGAATCGAGGTCATTGTGCATTTTATCCTGGGCGGTGCTCTTCGCTTCTTTCGAATCTTCATCAAGTCCAAGTTGTAAGGCCTTACCAGCAGGTAATTGCTGCTTGCGGGTTTTCATTTGCCCTAATTCGTCTTTCGTCGCGACTTGTTTTTCTAAATCGGCTACCCTCGCATGAACTTTACGTAGCTCATTCATGAGCTTGAAATGCTGTTGGATATCCTTGAAATCCACGAAATCATCTTCTCTTGGAGAGGAAATGATGATGGTCTCCTCATCCTTCTGATTAGTAGCCGTATTACGTGTTTTGGTGACAACACGTCTTTGTTGTGTACCAGAAATATTTGTTGCCTTCTTAATTGCTTCCGTTTTCTTCTTTGGTAAAGTTCCGTGGGGCCCTTCTGTGTCCTGGTTACATGCCTCTTTTACCTCACTCTCATTCTCGAAACTTGTTGCAGCCTTGGCTTCATTTCCTCCACCATCATCTCTGAGTTTAGCATTATCGCCGTCGTTTAAAGGGCACGTTGCATTAGAATCAGTGCAATCCACCACCTCGTGGTGTATTTTCAGGTCATCCAGCTTTTTTTTGTCCCCTGTCATATCAATATACGTTGGCTCGTCATCTAGTGGACAATTCAAATGTTCCGCACCATTGAGTCTGAAGACCTGTCCATCATCCCTTGCATCCGTGTACACAGCATAGTCCTCCATTATTTTTGTGGCTTTTTCTTCAACTGATGTCCACTCAGCATGTCTTTGTACTTCTTCATAAATGTCCGTTCCATCCTGATCTGAATCAGAAGAAGCCTCCTTTTGGAACTCTCCACTCAATTCTAAATCCTTGCTTTTCATATCAACATAAGCGTTCTTGTCGTCGTTGAGTTGACAAATACCACCTTGTACAAAACGTTTCCCATCATTTATGGGATCGGTGTACAGAGCTCTCTCTTCAATTGCTTGCCAGTCAGTGACGTCAACCACTAAGTATGCCAAACCTTCAGCAGATGCTGAATTGACCGGTCTTGGAGGTAGAGGTGGTGGACCTTCGCCCGAAGCAGAATTTTCTTCTTCACCTGTATTTAAAGCTCTCAGAAAATGGGGCCTTGGTGGCAATTCCGGGCAGACTTCGTCGTCATCATTTCCAGCGGAACCGTTGGACTGCGATGGTTCAGACTCCGCGGTCAAATCAAGACCTGAGCTTGAGTCTTGTGTTTGTGATGTCGGCGACACAGGTTCGTCCTCGGAGTCACCTGAAACAGCATTTGCTTCTTCACTTGTCTTTAAATCCTTCTGAAAGTGGGGCCTTGGTGGCGGCAAATCGGGACAGATTTCATCGTGATCAATTCCAGCGTAACTGCTAGACTGCGATGGTAAAGACCTCCCAGTCAAATCAAGACTTGAGCATGAGTCTTGTGTTTGTGATGTCAGAGACACAGGTTCGTCGTTGGAATCACCGTGAAACTGTAACTTTCCGGCATTTACACGCTTCCTTGGTTTGGCAACCGGTTTTCTCTTCGTTGGAAGTCTTTGCATAAGCGTGACGTCTGAGTCTATCAATGGTGGTTTTGCTTGACGGAGTGTCTTTGGAGGAAGAGGTGGAGGCTCATCTGCTGAATCTACACTCTTAACAGCATTCCATTCAATGTCAATGTCTTCATAGTCGCCTTCGTCTTGAGAAGAAGATTCTGAGATGCACTCTGACTGTGAACGGTCACGCTCTGTTTCTGGTTCTTTCGTTATGGTTGTCTCTTCAAGTTTTACGCTGGTTGTTTTTGTCTTCTTTGGAATCAGTTCTACTGACGGGGGTTGGAGCGACTCAAAGTCAAAGCGCCTAACGGGGAAGGCGCTTAAAAAGCCAGAATTAGCAATTATTCTGTCGAGTCGTTTTAATGAGTTTTCGCTCGCTCCAAGACACTGTTTGCATTCTTTTATCTTTGCACTCGTGTTCGCTGTGAATCTGAACCCACAACTAACGTAAATATCTAGTGTTCTTGGGAAAACGTACAGGGGAAATTGGTCATCAAGCAAAGCTGCAAACACCATTTCTATTTCAGTTTCATTGGTTAGACACATATTCCCCGAATTCGACCAGAGTCCAGCGCCAGGGTAAGTATTCGCTTGTGACTGATTAACAAATCGAATGTTTACAGGAACTTGAAACTGCTCTAGTACCTCCTCTAGATAATACTCCCTCGGATCCAGGAGCGGCTGAAATTTACCTCGTAGTTGAATTGGTAGGAGGATCTCTTTGGAGTCATGCAAACCAATCAGTTCACATTTAACGAAGTTGTTACGAACGGGTCGGCCGCCTAACAGTATCAGCGTTGTTTCTGAAGATATTTCGTGCGATGGAATGTCTTCCAAAACGCGGAAATACGGCTTCTGATGAACGTCGAATAATTCTTGTATTGAGTTGTATTCTTCTTCACTCCCAGGTGGAAGAAGCAAAACTTTGTTTTTCGCATTCCGTGGTACGCAGACCTCTCGTTTGTAGTTATCAAGGCCTAGCAGCATTTTCTGCTTCTCAATCTTGTAAATAACAATTATCTGGTCTGGCTCTAAAGTATCTTCATTGTTGTTTCCATAAAAGCCCTCCGCGATCTTGACTGTCTTGGGGAGAGTTGAGCCATACCAATGAAGATACGTGGATAGATCGACAGGAGTACCTCTACTGACGGAGTCCATTGTAACTTTTTCTTCTGCTCACAAAGAAGGAATTTTAATATTCTACATGAGGCGCGTCGAATTTCAAAGGCAGATCAGCCTAACAAAAGGAAGTCAAGTGAACTGAAAGGTCATCCTTGCGGTTTCAGAGTCATTAATGTTCTGAGAGAGTAAACGTGCCCATACCCATAAATAGTTGTTTCAACTTCTCCGAAATGTCCAATATGTCAAACTCATTAAGGTACAAGGGTAAAACTTTGATTTAGAGTTTGATACTCTCCTATTAGTATCCATGTAATACTGGAGTGGGATACTCTAGGTTATGGCATGCGCTGACAAAGTGTAATTTATTATCAGATGTTTTCCTACTGCGAGCTTTTCAAAATTTCTTCAGCTTTTTGTTTGCTCCAGGAGAACTGGAGGAATCTCATTGTTGTCAAAATTCTTCGAGAATGATTCAGTTTGTCGATGCGCAGTACAAAATAACCTTGTTCCTTAAAAGTATCAAGGCGTCGATCTGTAATATTCTTCAAATTCCGATAACATTACGACGTTTGTCATTGATGAAAAGGGACTTTCCCTAGTGGAAGTAGCCGTAGGGAAAGTATTTAACTTTCTAGAGATGTTGTGACCTTTAAACGGACGGTTACTTTTTCTCATTGTGTGACAAACATCGTAATCACGTGTAATGTACAACACCAAGAGCAGTTTATAATCTCTTATTAACACCTTTTCGATTTTCAGGTTAAATGTTTGTTGTTGTTTTTTCGTATGGTCAGTATTGGGTAAGGATAATGTACCAAGAGTGGGTGTGCTCGCTCGCTGCTCTTAACAATATTATTTTTAAACTTTTTATACCCCTGTCGGACCACTGTCGTATGACTTAAGTAGATGACGAACGAGGCCTACGTAAGAGTGCATCACATTAAAATGTCTGGGCGCGAACGAGAAACAGGAACAATAAAATTGCATGCGACAATGGTAACCTTGGATAGCCTTTACCGTTCCAGACAGTAGAGTAAATCACACAGTGAATATTTGAAGCCAAAAATGGGAGATATTATGAATTAATCCCAGATCACGGGGCCTGTACCTTATTGTGGCGATGACTCAATCGGCAGAGTTCCTGGAGCGCGGTGTTTCTATTTATTTAGTTATTATTTACAGCCTCATTAGAATCCACTCTGAGAAGCACTTACGCAGTTAGGATGTATATTCGTTTCGACATCACAGCACCATCGAGGAATATATGGATTATTTATTAAAAAGGAAATATTTAAATGTTTTTCGCTATTGATTCATTATCTTCAGGTTAATATACTCGTAAGTATTTCCTTTTTTAGATAAAGGAACTATGTATTTTTATGGCTAGATACTGGATGCATAACTGAACTACGCCAGCTATTTTAATCTGATTTATGGCCCAGCGACAGTTATCTTAAAGCCTTAACCCATGACAAAGTTAGGTTCGGAAAGCTGGAGAACTAGATTTCGTGTTTGAGAGCTTTCACGAGATGAACGGGCGAGACAAGCTCCTAGCAGCTAGGTACTCCCATGACTATCTTTGCGATAAAGCCGCTATTTATCGAACGACGATTCCAAAATAGCGCGAGATTGTATTGTGTATATTTGTTGTTGATCAATTTATTTTTCTTTATGTCCTTTCAAGTGGCAAGTTCATTTAATGAAGCGAAGCAAGGTTCATAAGCCATCAATAATAGAAGGAAACTGAAAATAGGCATAAGTGTCGAAGAAAGCTTTTTTTTTGAAAAAAGAAAGTTCTTATGAAATTGCTTACCACCGTAAATAATACGAGCTGTGACATAAAAACTGTCGTAATCATCCTAAGTGTGTCGTTGCATACACTATCAATGATTGAAAAATTATATACGAATAGCCCGCAGCTAGGAGCTATATTGAGCTGTCAGTAAGATTGGCCCACTTTAAATTTACATAAAACGCCTTCTTGCTGTCAAAGCAGGGAGACAAACACGATAATCACTATGTTATCTGCTGTAGGTGGATTGCCGCCATATTAAATCGTTTATTAACTAAGACGTGAGTTCGGAGGAGCAGAATGCTAATAAAAAATCTACCCCAGGGGCGGATTCAGGAATTTTTGATAGGGGGGTGGGGGTCCAAACTTTGGTTCAGAAAGGACTGTTGGACTCTTTTGAGGCAAATTACTTCTCCCCCACACCCCTCACACCCCCTCCCACCAGTCGCGGTTGCAAGTTATAATTCCTTGGCCGCTTACCGTTTACTTGGATTCATTTATTTAAAAAATCAGCCAGTTAAAAAGTGATATACGATCTTGCAGATGTGAGAATTTCAGTCTCAAAGTTGTAAGCGTCGGGTCTGGTAGGGGGGGTCCGGACCCCCGGACCCTCCCCCTGGATCCACCACTGTACCCTATAGTTTATATCCATAGTCTACCCAGTTGAAAGGACCTCTTAATTATCGCGACGACGTTTATATATGCCCCCGGCTAACTTAAGCTTTGTATTTTCATATCCAAATGGCATGAATTTGCTCGTTCATTGAAACTTTGCTTTAGTGTACTAAACAAACAGCGTACAATAAGTCTTGCACAATATTTGTGGCCGACTTTACTCACGCAAGATTTATAAATAGACAAAGAAAGATTGATGTACGACGCCAAATAGTTATGTATTGTTTACTTCAAAACTTAATGACACAGGTCATCGAGTACTTTGTTGTATTTTATTATTGACTTAATTTTACGGTTTCGAAAGACGTCCGCGATTTAATTATTTACCTTAGTACGGTTAATGGGGTATGATTCTGATGGCAGTTTTTAAAACAAAATGCATGTTTATAACATAACTCAGACTGAGCCATTTTTGAATAATTTTGTTTTTCGCTTTCCATCTCGTGCTTTCGTTCTTATACGCCAGTTCCTACCACGGTTGTCGGAATACTACCTTCTCGTTTGAAAAGAATGTATTATCCGGAATCCCTTGGATTCTGAATTTATCACGAGTAGGGAAATCAGCTTTTCTAATGTGGTGACGTTTGGCGCGCGCGAAACGGCGCTATTTCAGCGATAAAACAAAAGAGATGTCAACAGCATCGGCCAATTTCAACAAGATATGCAAGAACCTAACTACTGCCTCGCAGACAGTGGGAGTGCCCTAAGGAGTTAGACATCCTGATTTTAGGTTGGTGTCAATCTTACCATGGTTTTAACTTCCTTTTCGTGACAAGAACGAACAAAGAAATCGATCTTTAGGAAGTGATTTAGTTGTCAAATGCAAAAAATTCTGACAGATTGGCGTACTGCACTAGTATTAGTAGAAAAGGAAGTTGGATCTATACATTACCGTGGGAAAATGACCTTTGAAATGGTATTGATCCTCTTCTCGTAATGCATCACGTTTTACACACTGTGTAATATAATTGGCAAGTATATTTAACAATTATTCCACGAGCGCGCGTTGGATATGAGATGATAGATAGCCAACGAGGAGCGTAGTGCTGAGTTGGCTATAATCATCTCTTATTACCCGACTCGGGCAGTCTGAGGGCCAATAACTAAAATCAACCAATCAAAATGCTCTATTGCCGGTCAATATTCTCTCAGTATTGGACCGGGCACTCTCCCGAATGGTCCCGAATGATACCGCACTTGTGTCCCTTTGAACTTCAGTCGTATAATAAATCTCTTATTAACCAAGCTTGCTCGGGACCGTACTGGAAGAATATCGGCCCTCGGTCTTTTTTGTGCGGACCGAGCGTAGCGAGGTCCGTACTGTCAAGACCTTGGGCCGATATCCTCCCAGTACGGCCCTCGCGCTTGGTTAATAAGATATATATTTAACAATTATAGCGCGCGTTGGATGTGAGATGATAGATAGCCAACGAGGCGCGTAGCGCCGAGTTGGCTATAATCATCTCATATCCAACAAGCGCGAGTAGAATAATTGTTTTATTAAAAACGTTGAGTTAATTTATTAAATTTTATTAAATTTTATTAAATTTTAAGCTCCCCTTTTAATTTTAAGCTGACGCGTACGCTTACCATATTTGTAGATTATGGTATATTGGCTCATATACCATAATGGCTAAGCCAGTAAAAAGTCTTAAATTGCATTATCCAAGGATCCAGTTTTTAATGATATGAATTATTATACAGTAACACTCGACTGGAATGTATGGTATAAATATTTCCCATGGTAAATCGAAATCCTGCTACTAATTTCAGTTGACAATCCAAGGTTTCATGAAACGCTTTTCAAGTAATCAGAATAAAGGCTTCAGTTTGGTCTCTAAAATGATGCGACCACACGGCGTCCTACCAACAAAATCTACTGATGTCATGAAATTAATGGCCAGCCCCACCGTCTGGCCTACTGGGGTGAAAGTTTTGTGAATTCTTGTACACAGAAAGCAAAGTATAATCGTAAAAATTCAGTTTCACGTGCTTCGTTTATTCAAATTTCAAGTGCCCAGAAGTAAAAACTATATTTAGAAGTGCTACGAAAAATGAAATTGAGATATCTAGGAAGACGAAGAAGGGTAAAGTAAATTTTTAGTAGAAAGGCATGAATATAAATTGTTTCTTACCCTAATTCAATTAAGGAAAGATAGCTAACACATCTCGGGCCACAAAAGTGTCATTTCATACAGACGTCAAAGCAAAAGGGTTCGAAAAACCTGGTTATTTTATTTCAGTTTCTAAACAACATCGATTGGTTGCTTAACTCTGTTCATGCAACAGCAAAGAAGTCTGTACATATGTCATAAACGTTTGGAAATTAGATCGACCTTGACATGAAACATGTTTCGACACGTTCAATCGACAGAATTTTTAAAACTGTAGGAGGGGAAGCAGTGCCTTGCTTGTCTTTCCATGTCATCTATGCCACGTTGGCTGAGCAGGGACGACGGACCCTACATTTTATTTTCTTAGAGGCCTAGTTTCGCTATGTCGGACCACCAACCCGTTTCGCTGAGCCCCAGCTCTTATCCACTGAAAGATTTCGTGGTAAAGTTTGAACTTCCACAACCAGTCACGGTTCAAGATGGATATTTTGACGAATACCAGAGTGAAAGTATCGGTGCTGGCGCGGTTTGTAATTTGTTATCTTTAGAAAGTGTCGAAACAGGAATATTTGAAGATGAAGATGGCGAAGATATACACATCCCGCTTGACGATCCATTCGAGGTGGAGCGTGTTGCAGAGGCCAGATTTGAACAACATCTCACCCTTGAAGACCTGATCGATGAGAGTTCCACGGTGAAGTTTGTCCGTGTCGTCGAGACTGATCCAAACTTTGAAAGTATCATTAGGAGAGGGGACAAGCTGAAGATAAAGAGGAAAAAGTCTCGTGAGACCTTTCTGGCCTTCAAAAAAGTTAGCGATAAGGGCAAACCTCTGATGAAAGTCCCAGCCAGTTGCCTAGCAAAATTTTTACCACTTTTGGACGGCGAAGAGTTGCCTCTCAACAAGTTTGTTAGGAAGTATAAGCTTCCTATCTTTGTGGTGATGAATTTTATCGACTATAGTAGGGACAAGAACTCAAATAAAGACGAGGAAATTCCTAGAGAGAAGCCAACAACAAGAATAGTTAAAAGCCGACGTCAGTTGTCCAATAGCGTTCTTAGATTAAAAGGAATTTTAGCAGATTTTATTGTGCTAGCTTCAATGGAGGTGGATGGCGTCCCTTTAAAGCTTTCATTCCCTAAAACTATACCAATTAACGTTGTGCCTTTGAACACAGAATCTACAACCGGAGCACCAGAAAGCACATTAGAATTCGTATCGAGTGAAAGGAACGAAACTGGAAAAGACAGCAGTGAATTGATCGCAGTAGAGGAGACCGCTTACGTAGATATGTCTGGCCTCAGAGATCCACAAGGATCATCTCAATCGAAAATGAGTGTCAGATTTGAAAATAACATTAAATGCGGTGATGAAACTATGAAAATCACGCAATTAGCAGGGCTGGCTGCACGCAACAACACATACTCTCCAGCGCCCTCCAAGAAAGTAAGCAGAAGCCAAAGCGTGAAGATGCCAAGGCAAGGAAACGGGACATTTTCAAGAAGTGTGAGCGATTTGGAACTAGCAAGCGAAGACAACGTTTATGAAGAATTACAGTTTCATACACTACCTCATAAAATGAAAAAACACCCGTCATTATTGAGAAGAAGAAGAAGTGACTGGAGCATTGAGCGAGTATCGAAACAGAATTTAAATAACTTATTACACCTGCCGGCTCAAAGCTCGGAAGATCACGGCTTTCGAAGTCACGTCGAAGTGGTTTCGTTACAGATTCCGAAACTTTCACCTACCTATAAGAAATGCCCAATGATGAAAACATTTGGAAGGAAAGAAAAAATCAATGAAACTGAAAATAGCCCAAATGACGTCCAGGGATTAAATTTGGACAGCTATACTAGCCAATCATTGGACTTGAATCGTTTGCGAACGAAGTTAACTTCAGTGACTTCGAAAGCGCCCTTTTATGAATCCCAGGAGATGGAGTGTGATGCTCCTTTTAATCCAGACCTTTCAAATCAGTCGGAAGGAAAACGGGAAAGTGGAGATGCTCTCCCATCCCTCCCATCTTCACAAAGAAGTTGTGGAGATAGATTTCATTTCTCCTCTCGTGATCTTCTGTTGAAAGAGAAAGCAGATCCAAAAGGAAGACACAATGTCATTGACAGCAAGATCCCATTTGTTGGCACCAGTCTAAAGAAAACTATTCCACCAGAACCTCTCGAAGAGGAAGACTTTTACGAAAACGTAAAACTGCAAACGAAATCAATTGTCAGTTCCACAAGTGTGCGTGAAGCAGTAACGAACAAAAACAAAGTTAGCGTCGGGGTATCGTCAGTGGGTACAACCAAAAATGATTGCAGAACCGGGCCCCTGGAAAGGAGGGACCAGTGCTCTATAAGAGAACGTCAACCAAAATCACCTGTAAGTCAAACAGGCTTACAAGAACCAGTAAATATTGAGAAGGAGGAGGAGGAGCCACCACCCATTCCCGCACGGTTGAAGCACACTGAAGAACCTTTGTACTCTTTGGTTTGTACAAAAAGAAATCCATCACAAGATAAGGTCAGTGAAAACACTACCCATTCAAGCCACACTGAAGAACCTTTGTACTCTTTGGTTTGTACAAAAAGAAATCCATCACAAGATAAGGTCAGTGAAAACACTACCCATTCAAGCTACACTGAAGAACCTTTGTACTCCTTGGTTTCTACGAAAAAAAATCCACAGCAAGATAAGATCAGTGAAAACACCACCTATTCCAGCCATTTACATTCTAATCCATTACTCAAGGGAAGACCTCAACCTTCTCCCCGACGGCCTCGAGGCGGAAGCAACCTCTCTCCATCGGATCTGATTAAAGCTAGAGGCAATTCAAGCGTCCATTCTGATTCAGTACCACCTTCACTTGAAATGAAACCCATGACGGCTGTCAGGGATGATCCAAACTCGAACTTTGCCATTCCACAAGACCTAAGTACGCTTAGTGTCACCGATGTATTGAAGTGTCTGAATGCTTTGAATATGAAGAAATTTGAGGACATCTTTAGTGAACGCCAAGTCGATGGAAACATGCTCGTCTGCTTGGATGAAGAAGCTCTGGAGTCCATTGGAATGGATCGTTTCCACCGTTTGAAACTCCTTAAATTTATTGCAGGTTGGAGACCACAGCTACACTGATCGCACCACATTGCACCATGAATTGACCGATGCAAACTTAAAGGTTTGAAAATTCACACACTCGGCATTAATTACCTTGAAGAAATGCACAGAGTAGTTCATTATTTCCTTTGGAAATCTGTTGGGTTATCTCCGTTTCATGGCCAGCAACAGCAACTTAATTAAACCTAACTCTATGCCGGTTCTGAAGATTTCGCTTAATGTTAATAATCAATTCATGCCAACCAACGTAGCTGTTGCGCAGTGGCCTAAGGGTCCAGTTGAAAGTTTAAGATCCTTTCATAACAGCCTAGCAATTGCTTGCTTTACCAAATTTGATATGGCCTTGAAACATATAACTTGAAGATTATAAAACCTTCAAAAAATCTGGGATCAAACATTGTGAGAAGGCATATCGAAATGAAATGGTGTTTTATTAATATCCTGGAACATGTAGGCTCGAGGAGTATTCTTGTTAACTCTTTATAATTGTAGCAGCTTGTATTCTTTCTGATTAGAATCTCGATCTATACATATAATCTGTATGAACATATAATCTGTATAATTGAATGCTCTGGCTTTACGCCAACAGCAAAGTATAGGCGCTTACAGTTTGACACAGTGCTTGTAAAGGGCAAACTTCATGTATTTTGACCAGTATGTTTTATGGACAAGATTTTCTCATGTCAAACATCAGCATTCGAATGCAATGTTTATTTTTGCAGTAAAACATATCTGATTGAATTCGTTTGTTCGTTAAGGACACATACAGAAGCCAGTTATGCGACATATCTATATCAAAGTCTTCTAAAAAACGATATAACGTCAACTGTGTGTCAACTTATAAGGTCGATTTTGATTTCATTCGAAATACTTTCTAAATGTTGCAATTTTAAATAAAAGGCAGTGTATGACTGCATGTGCCTACTTTTGTATAGTTTTAGAGTATTGCAGTGAAAAAGCAATGTGGTGTAAAATGTGGAGGGGTTAATGCACAGCTCTTGTCGATGCCAAGGACTTAGCAAGAGCAGAGTTTGTACACTGGTCGATTGATAGGCCAAGGACAGGGCAGGAATTTTATAGAATATAATTTTGCCTTTTTTTTTTTCTTTTTTGCTTTTTTTTTTTTAATTTCAATTAAAATTCTTTTTCAAACGATATGTTAAATATGTCCATAGTAAACGCACATGTGCGAACGTGTGACAACGTAGCTCTGACGTTTAAATCGATGACAACGTCGAAATGTAGAGGTGAGGCCCTGACAAATTCACAAAAACTCCCCCGCAAAGTATAATCCTTGTTTTTGGAAATATCTAAGTTACCGCGTTGAGAACGCAACAGATCATTTTCGTCTGACGGAAAATCCCTCCGACAGGTGATGGAAGAAATTTCAGAAAGCCAAATAAGGCTGTATTAGATTTAAGAACAGTTTATATAATCATTAATCCTTTCAGCAGCGTTTCAGCTTTGAACTGTAGAATCCAGCGTGTTTTTGAAAGATTTAAGCTGTCGAGTAGACGACGCGACAGATTGTTTTTCGACAGTTGATGAAAGGCAATTCAGAAAAGCAAATAAGGTTGTCAAGGATGAAACAGCATCGATGCCCACCACAGTTTTGATGCGTGCTTACTGTTGTTTTGTCCTGATCATTACCTCAATACAAGTAAAAAAAAGTTGTTACGAAACTATGGAACAGCAGACCGCGGAACCTGCGTAACCAATAATTTTGAGTAAAAAAAGCTAATGAATAAATAAAGTTGAAAAAACCCTAACAGTGTTCGAAATTTCGTTTTCGGGCATAAAGAAATGTTTTTGACGTCCCACTAGAGACAATCGATTTTAATTTTGGCGGCGTTCACTGTACAAGGTGATGCAATGCCATACGGTAGAAATGGCAGTCACCTACCCCGAGTATTACTGATTTGAACCATAATTTTATGGCTCTAACGGATTGGGTACCGCATTATCCGAATAGCGCCTCAGCCGAAGGTTGGATTTGGCGGCAGTTATATCCATTTCATTCCTCATCACCCTAGGGTGAGGAACACGAGCGTAAAGTAACATGATCTCGGTTGGCTTTATTCACAGACGTATCTTGGAAAGGATAAATGTAGAGAGCAGAGCAAATGAACTTACGTAAACCGCTGGTTCTGGAAGTTCCGCGATCTGCCGATCCAATCAAAAGCCAGCCATTTAAATTATGAAGGGTTTGGTAAACATTTTGCTAATCATACCAAACATGTTGTGTAATGCGTTTTCTCACACAATGAAATCGAATGATCCAGAACGGTGGATTCGTAAACATAATCTTTGTGTTGTGCAAAACAGATTACTAGTCTGATAACCTGACTTAAAATTTCACTTTCATGGAGTATCCATTTGGAGGAAGTAGTATTCTTAAGTTCTACGTGGTTCTTTAAAAATTCTATGCACAAACAGTTCCATTAGGAAGAAGCGAATTGTCTAATTTAAGTATATAGGAAAAGTTTTGAATAAAAATAAGATTGTCTATAGAGTAAAGTGTCCCAACACCCATTTCAGCTTTTCGAGACTGGAAAGGAAATTAAAGGAAACTGGAAAGGAAATTAATTCAATCAATTGGGACACCGTCCTGTTTTCTTCTCCAGTTGCTGTTATTTTGTAAGCGCAACAAATTCAATAAAGTTCAATTCAGCATTTTATTTTCTTTTTCCGGCTCGAAACTAATTGTCCTGATCTTAGTTATAAGCCCGTGTAAATTAGGTTTATTCCGCATCCATTAACTCCAGAAAAAAAAGGAAGTAGACCAAACAGACATAACAAAGGAATTAGTCTCTGAGATTGATACGGTTTTAGAAAGAATTAAGCTTACTATCAAATACAAAACATCTTGAAAAGTAGCCACTTGAAATAACAGAAAAACAGTATCCATGGTTGCTGTGGCTCTTTTCGACTTTTTTGCTTCATCGCTAGGAAAATCGAAAGAACAGCAGCTGAATCATAAATGTTTATCATGTGTGGTCCATCTGTCTCGCTGAAACCTCAAGATGGCATCTCTTACACTTTACCCAATCGTTTGCATTTTTCCTATTTGTATTTTTCCGTAGATACAATCACAAACAATTTGACCAATTTCCTGCACCATTTTTGAACAATCCTACATAACATCTATTTGCATAATGCTCCAGAATTTGATTATAGAGTTATCTACATCTTAATTTTCAGGCATTCTTTACTCTATACATTAAGAGGTCTTGGGAATCCAACCATCTTTGATAAATTTAGTGAGTTTTTTTCTATGCAACGAACTGGAGATCCCAAGATCTTTCATCATTTCTTCATCCAAATCTAGCAAAAGTTTTCCGTCGACTGATTCTTGTGCAAAAGTCTCAATGTACTGTTCTAAACCTAGCTTAGTTAGCCATTCACAAACTTCGTTCACCGTGATTTCTTTCAGACGTTCTTGGCTCAATCTATTTAGAGCTCCATCGGTAGCTTCCGGGTTGCTGGCGCTGGAAACTTTTCCGGAAGGCTTGGTAACAACTGACGATTCCACGTTTTGCGAGGTCGACTTGGTTGAGGTGGTCAATGCCCTTTTCTCATTTCTCAGTCCAGCGAAATCCACAGCTAATGAAAAAGAGTTGTGAGAGCCTGGAGGCTGGACCTTTCCCAGTTTAACAGCAGGTTTTATCGTGGGCTTTTCGGCAGGTTGCGGTTTGGTAGAAGAAGCAGACTGTTTAGAAGAACGAGATGTTGGTGGCCGGTCCTCCTCGCAGAGAGGTTTATTATTTTGAGTCACATTTGGCCTTATGGCAACTGGAGGTAGTACTTGGTTAAGGCTTTTCTTTTGATCATTAGAATATGGAGATGCTTTTGTAGATTTGATCTTGTTGGGTGAAATGTAGTCATAAGTATCATCTTTAAGATCTTCTCCCTCTTCATTTTTAAGGACCAAAGATTTCCCTTGCGACAGTTTCGCTTGGGGTGGCTTCTTGGCAATCGGAGGGGGATCCGGTCTAACGGCTGCCTTTTTGACAAGAAATTGAGGTGGTGCTGTATATCGACCCTCAAATTGCGATTTGTCCATTGTTGTATTTTGAACTGAACTTTCTTTTGTTAATTTTCGATTTCGTGTTGGAACAGGAGGAACTATTTCATCGTAGTCATCATCATCCGACGATGCACTACAGGTTTCGACGCACTGATCGATCTCAAAAAGCCATGATGCATCCTCGTCTCGGTTTGTGATTACTGATTCAATGTTTACATCGTTTTCAATTCGCTGACGAATTTGAGCAAGTACCTTTGGGTCTACGTTTGACTCGATTCGTCTGACTCTAATTTCCAAGCTTATTGGAACTGTCAAAACCCGTAAATGCTTTCCGATCAAGGTGTAAGCTAATATTACCTTTTCCTGTACTATTTCCTCGATGAAAATCGTAAGGCTCTCCTCGATTTGCCTGTCTTCTTTAATAAACATCCTTGTGGAGCCTGCCTGGACTCGTACTCGAGTTGGCAGATTATGTCGATCTGTGATCTCTCTTAACGAAGAAGGACGAACTTCCTCAAGGGTTTCAAAATATCCTTGCTGATCACAAGAGAGGAATATTGGCCTTTTTGTCCCTGCCACCTTGCACTTAAGGCCCATGTGGCCTTGAGTGTTTGGTGAAGACTCTTGAAGCCGAAGTATATCTCCGGCGTTGATGTCGCTCTGAGGTATATTATGGAGCGAACGAACGTATTTCGGAAAGTCGTGAATAAGGTCTTGGACTGTTTCATACTTGTGATTGAGTCTGTTTGGAATACTTTCAAATATTTTGTCAGGAAAATTTAGAGGAATCTTGTAGAGGTTCCCTTTCTGATCGCGAGCAAATGCCTGAGGTAGATCTGTCATGGCGTGAAGGTGCACGATTTCACCTTGAGACCACGATCGTTGTAACGATTCGTTTGAATCATATCCTTCCACAATCTCAGCTGTTTGGGGAAGACGACAGTCTGTTAGAAATTCGCAGAGAAACTTGCCATCGGATAGGTTGTTATTTTGTCTCCACGGCATCTCGAGAATCCTCCTCCTCAACAACTGTTCAACTGATTAACAGCCCTGCACTAGTAAGCACAGTGTTGTTGACTTCTCGTAGTGTCCCGTGACTTATTATATTATTATTAGTTTTGGCGATAGGGGAGGGGGGGACATAGTTTGGTTCCTCTCTATCAAATGTAGCTGTCAAACGTATCAGTTGCACGATAAAAGTTTCAAGATTGTTTTAAACTAAAAGTGAGCTACTTTAGAAAATTCAAAAGCTATAATAAGAACGAAGAACGCCCCGAAACTATTCTAAACTTCGACATTTCCGCTAACACAAAACCCCTCCGAACTACTTTACTTCCATAATAGGAAGAGACAACGCTGACAGATTAACAATAGACAGTAACGCTTCAAAAGCTGAAGATGCCAAGCTGAGACTAACCACGAACAATCAAAGCGAAGGATTTACGTCCACTTTTGGCAGTTTGGAAATATATTTTCACAAAATTTCACTTTTTCCACCTCTTTTAACGATCCTGAAACTGAGAGATCTACAGGGGAGCAGATGGTTTAAGCGTCGCTTCTACTGCTCCTGCCATGGCTTGAAAGCCTTTTTAGATGATGTGTAGGTAGTAGGCACTATATTTCCTGATCAGTATGATCGGTATCCAGTACAGTGGAATTATATCTCATCACGTGACTGATGAATGTAAATATAGATCAGTAAATGGCTTTGATCAAGTCAATTTTTTCCCTAGTAATCGTAGTTACGATCCGACACATCATTCGCGTGACAAACTGAACTTGAATTCTTAAGATCGTTAATTAGACTCGAACCAGAGACCGTTTTGTGCTTTTATAACGATGAACTCCCCCACCGTTGATGTAGTTATCTTCATTGCCCTTTTCCTTTCGTCTTCATTCAGAGATAAAACCTGACAAAAAAGCGGCGGATTTCGCCTACTGCCACAAACAGAAGACGTGACAAGAACAGGAACAACAGAGATCTCGTGACTTTTGTTTGACAGTGTTTCAAAGAAATAATTATCATAAATATGCAGGCATTAAAGTAGGCTTGTCAATTTTAAACACCCTGCCATGCTCTGATCGTAAGGAGAAGCCTAATATCGCCGCAAAGACCACAAGGAAGTATGCCTATTTGACGCGGTAATTTTTCGTGCAGACTTTGCGACTGCCATTTGGCATCCGAGAGCATCAATTGTCAGAGACAGATATATCTCTCGTATGGATCGTTTCGTTTCTGCCGTGATATCCTAAAATAGAAAACCCTGCATTTTGTTCCAGTTTACGATGTTCAGCCATATCGTCTGGAGTGACGAATCTTGTACTTTGAGAGAATTTGTCGATAAATACCCGCTTCCGCAACTGATGAAAGTCGAAAGTGGGGTCTACAATGACGAAGATGCTAGAACGCTATCAGCAGAGCAGATTCTGACGCTACATGTCACCAAAAGGACCGACAAAGTGCTTGTGAGGGCTGCCGAAAACAAACGGTATTTTCTACCGATAACATGTCCACATAAAGTTGAAATTGTTCCTAAAATGTGTCAAGACACATATTACAGTGTGGAAGATATTACCAACTCTTCTACAGCCCCAGATTTCAAATTTATTCGTGTGGTACATAACGGTCCGCCTTCGCTTCGAATACGAGCTGGGGACATCTTGAAGCTCAAGAACACTGACGAAGAAAATCGGGTGAAGTATCTAGAATGTGAGTTTTATAATAAGACTCAAGACTCTGTGATGCTTCCCTTAGAATTCAAAGCTGCCTTCGAGCCCCTGGCCAGCCCAGAAGAGCATCTTATGCAAGAAGTTCTGAATTCCTATACACTTCCCGTTCGCGTGATGTTTACCGGTAATACCGTAATACAAGATGCTGCGAACAGTAACATTGAGTTGCAATCGCTCGGTTCGGTTCTCTTAAAAGAAATTCGACAGGAAACTACAATTATTGCAACAAGTCGTGACGACGAAACTGTCACCGTTTTAATGATTCCTTCTGATTTGGATGTGAAAGTAAACCCAGCTATCGGTGCCGTTATTGGTGATTCGAATTACGCAAGATTCTGTAAAAAAGTCCATGATGGAACAGAACTTTCCAAAATCGACCTCTTAGACAAAGGTTCTAAATTGCTGGAATTTTCTGAGGAGCCCACCGTTGACGTTGTCGATGTCTATGATTACGTTGAGATAGGACCTCCACTTCCTCCTCGGTCAGACTCCAAACAAAGTGAACAGCCAGATTCCGACGAAGATTATGAAGATGTAGACCTACCTCCCCCGAGACCACCAAAACCACCACCAAAACCACCACCTAAACCAAACCTGAAGCCAGCCTATCGAAAAAAGGAAACCGATGATGTTTACCCTTCCATGTACGGGAGACATTACAGTTCTGAGGAACCATCACCTCTTGATAGTGGTGGTGATGATGACGATGACGAGTATGAAGAGTATGACCATGACGATTGGAGCACAGATGACGAAGATAAAGTCTACCCAGAGACAGATCTACCAGGGGCAGAAACGCCCGGTAACAGAAGAAAAGGAAAATGTGATTCGTCAGAAGAACCTGAAAAATCTAACCTCAAGAAACGAGTTTCGGACCTTCTCAAGAAAGCTATCGCTAAGTCACCTACATCTCTACCTACCTTCCGACTGCCATCGGCTACTTATGCCAACGTCCCAAAACGAGAACTGTCTCCACCTTCACAACCACAATCACCTGTGAAAAGTTATTCCTATTCACCTCCACCTGTGGCTCAGGGTTACCCTATGGACCTATCTAGTCTTTCTGTTTCAGAAGTAGGAGAATGCCTCACAAAGCTAAACATGGGAGAGCACGTGGAGGCTTTTGAAAGCCACACCGTTGATGGGAATCTTCTGAAGAATCTAAGTGAACAAGAACTTATAGACCTTGGAGTGACTAAATTATTTCAAAGCAATAAACTTCTTCATTTTATACAGGGATGGAGGCCTAAAATGGATTAACTAGTAATCCCTTTTTGACTGAGTCACTCAACCATAACGCAAACTGGAACTTGTCATTAAGAACCCTTAAAAAATATATTGAGAGAGCTTTCTATATTAATGTAATAAATTTAATATATATTTCATTTGGTGTTTTGGTGTGTAGAATCGGCACTGACTGTTTTTGGGGGTTGTGCCACATTTCGACGAGCCCGCAAGGCGTCGAGTCAAAATACAAACAAGGAGTAAAAATACTCAGTGATACAAGTATATTGTCCAGGTACTTTAAAGTTGTCTGCTTTCTCTCTTATTTTAAAACACTCTAGAAGTGTAGTCAACCTGTCAGACAGGTCTTTTCATAACAGAACTAGAACACCAACTTTCTTATTAACATGAGGGATATTTGTACTTAAATTGCACGTTATTTGTACCTTTCTTAGTACAGTTGGGTTATACAGGTTACATACTAGTGCACTTATACATATCTTAAAAACTTGTAGCTTTAAAAGCCAGAATGAGTTGTAAATATCTATACATTTAAAAGGCTGATTTTTTTGAGAGGGAACCTAGAGAAATTTAGACGAGGGAACTAGAAGAATAGATATCTAATTTCTGGCTTATTTTAATTCCCAAGGCCTAAGGACTGCCAAGAGCAACTCAGAGGTGTAAATGAACGTTTACTTGATAAATGTGGGTATGCCATTGATTTTCTTGCATTCGAGGGGATTTTAGATGAACCTCCCTCCTAATTTGGAACAGCCTATGTGTTGTAGTAAAGATCTGCTCCTTAGAAGTCAGCCTAAGTTTAATTTTATTCAATTTTGTTTTTACTGGAGATTGATTTAGTGAGCATGGTAGGAGTCAAGCTGAGTCAGAACAGGGGACTGGCTAAAAATCCAAAGAGGACAACTGGTGTTACTATGCAGGTAAAATTTCCATTTGAATCCATAACAGATCAGTAGGCACAAGTTAATTGAATTTTTGTTGAAAAAAAAAAAATAGAAAATAGAAATCACGAGATTGACTTATCACTGTTTATGTGATATACAACTTTGTCCGGTTACATCAGGTTTTACTTCAACCAAGACTTGTTTTTGCATAGTATTGTTTAGCAGAGACAAATAATAATCAGTGTTGAGGAAACTGGATGAGAAAAATGATGTTCTGTTGCTTTAAACAACATTAATACATGACCAACATTGAAACAAGACAGCAGCCAAACTACTAGAAGCTCCTCAGAACATGTAGACACTTAAAAATTTGCTTGCCTGAGTGGTCCACTGCCCTGGGATCAAAGTTGGACCTCTGTAAATAAGACAACTCCCACCTCAGTTAGCTTTACACTTCAGTTGAAAAAAAACCTATGTGGAGAAAAAACCCAAACAAAAAAAACAATTTGGATCTAGTGTACAACATTTGATTTTAATTTCAACAAGTATTGAGTGTGGTCGGGAAGTAAACATCACCATATGTCCTTAGGGAATTGTTTTGATGCCATTATACTTGTTATTTCTGCTTTGGTTTTGGTTAAATTTGAATTAATTGCAAATTGGTCATGAGTATATTCACAAAATACTGGTAGAATAACTGGACCAAGTTGTTCAAAACTAGGTGAAGATAACCACGGGTTAGTTAGAAATCTGATTTCAGATTTGAAACCTTTGAAAGAATATTCACTAGAATTCTGTCTATCCAGAATGATGATTGGATTCTCTAAAAAGAATAGAGATAATTATCCTGAAAAGGCTTTTGAAAGAGGGAAAAAAAAAACCCTGATTAAAATTTAACCTGCATTCAATCTACTTGGCCCTGCAGCCTATTTCTCAAAAGTTCTAGTAACTTAAACTGCCCAAAGCCATGTTTTAAAATCAAAATGTAAAGGATAGAAAAGCAAGTTTTGGCACCCAACCAGTCCATTTTGTTTCTTTGGCTAATATTTCAATTGTATTATTTTCAAAACTTTCAAAATCCCCATCTTGAATGAAAACACAACTGCTTTACCAGCCTGTTAAGTTACCGGGACTTTTGACTAACAGCTTCCAGAACAGCAAGACTTAAAGAAGAAAGATATAAATATAAATTTCAATATTTTTATGGTTATTTTTTACCACCCACAACTTCTTGGTGTGCCCAACATGGTGGTATTATCTCTGCTAACAAATATCACCAGTTAGTATGTACCACACAAGATAGTGCTTTTTGTGTGTTCTGATTGGCTAGTTCAGAAGTACTATTCACCTTCAAGCAGCCAAAGAGACAAATTCATGTAAAGAGTTTATTCCTAAATAATTTTTCTGTATATTAACATAAATTAACTAATTTTCAGGTTTCTGTGTTATGTACTAAAACATTAAATCACATCAGTGTCCAGAAAGTGATTGGTCGTTATCTTCACTTCAGTTAATAATTGTTACATGGCATATATTTGAAAAATAATTTACACCTCTTATCTGTTTAACATGAGTACAGTAATCACTATCTTGAAAAGCGCACTCCATTCACTGCTACAGACAATTAAAACATTATATTTCATCTAATTCAACACATTCAAGAAGTACTCAATACAGAGCAGACAGGCAAATGAAAGACTTTTCCTTTGATGTTTTGAGAAGTGAAATTGATGCTATTAAAACTTTTGAGACTGCCAAAATATGCTGTATCCTGTACCCTGAATGGAATACTGGTCCATCGCAGGTTATACCAGTGCATTCAATCAGGATTTCTTGACTGTTTGTAGGTAACCCCCTTCCAACTCCTTTGGGGAAAGAGGCACTGTAATAGTCAAGTGGTTACCAAGAACACAACACAATGACCACACGAAGTCTCAAACCCAGAATTCTCAATGTAGTCCTACATACTACCATTGGGCCCTGGGGCCTCCCACATTTTTAATAATAATTATTTCACATTCACCTAAGCCTTATAGTGGATAATTTGAGGGCAAAAGAATTTGTGCATAAGGTGTAGGGTGAGCTGAAAGAGGGATTGGCCAGCACTACTGAAGGAAAGGAAGTTGGGGAAATTTGCAGACACTTTGGTGTCAAAAGCATAACAAAAAGCCTTGGGAATTTCCCAGGTACTTCTACAGCCATTAAAATTTCTGCCAAGTTTCCTAGAATCCAACCTCGTTCCCAGGGCTTTTCCCTTTTTGAATATTTTGTGGGGCAGGAAAAGGCCATAGCACAGCAGACAGGCATTTTGTCTGCGCATGCGCCAGTGGAATTGGTTTTTCGCGTTCGGCGCCATTGGTGAAGTTTTCGACGCGTTTCTGCGAGGTTTCAACTGGACGATCGCCACCTTTTTGTAATATTTTTGGAAGATGGATGAAGGAGTATGACAAGTTCACCAACATTTCTAACTCTTTTGATACTCGTGGTGTTTGCTGGCTCTTCACTTGAGGATATTTTAATGATCAAAGTGCGAACAAAACGCGAAAAAAGCCCGAGAACTTGAAGTTTGAGATTTGATTTACTGAAGATCAAAATTTACACATGAGACAACAAACCTTGAAGGTTAGTCTTAAGATGTTGATGCTTTATTTTTGTGAATCACTAAGTTGTATGTGGAGACGATCGTGAGATATTTGATCCGAGGAAAGATGGAAATTTAGATTTTGATCTTATTTTACTTCAACTTCGAAGTAAAATTGCGTTAAGTTTGAGGTGGCCCCCAAGCATCAAATCACTTTAAATAACATCGTCTTTTCGTNTGGTGAACTTGTCATAGTCCTTCATCCATCTTCAAAAAATATTACAAAAAGGTGGCGATCGTCCAGTTGAAACCTCGCAGAAACGCGTCGAAAACTTCACCAATGGCGCCGAACGCGAAAACCAATTTCACGCGCGCATGCGCATAAAAATGCCTCTCTGCACCATACAGGCTGATGAGTTCTCGTGTTTGATTGGCTTACGAAATCTGATAATTTATGCTTATTTTCTTGGCGCGATTAGTATGCCTTAACAAATATGGCGGAAGGTACCTCCGAAGTCGAAACATAGAAGAAGTTTTCTTGGAGAAATCCCTTGTGTAACTTTGCTGTGAGGCCACTGAACGTCGACACATGGTCAAAGTATTTGGAAAAGCTGGTGTTAGTCAAGAACTCGCATCGAAAATAGAAAGTACTTGTGCTGTTTCGCTTCGCGAGAGTGATATTTATAAGTTGAATTCTGTGTGCCGCAAATGCATAAACTTCGTAAACAAGATGTACGATTTTGTGAAGAAAACGAGAAGTGTCAACCAGACCATCTATTTGCAGCCAACGGACGTCTCTGTAAAGCGTTGCATTGATGTTTCACCTTCGTCCTGCCAGCAAACGAAGAGGAAATCTACGACGCAAGTGACAGCGAAAGAACTCTTCCCTCCCTCCCAAACCGCCAACGCGAATGAAGACCCGATGTCTCAGGACGAAGTAGTCCCAATTATGGATGGAGAACACAACTCAACGGCCGTGAATGAGGCGACATTGACAATTACTCAGCAAAGAATGCTTGTAAGTGCCGTAAACTCAAGGGATGCTGCTGTTGTGGCCATGATATTACATGATTACTGCACAAACGTTGTAAAAGAATTGGATGGTCTTCGCTTCAAAGACATCGAATCATCTTGCGCAAAACTCTGCAAACGGAAAGGTGGTTCTGTCCTACACGGACACGATTACCGTGACGAAAGCTTAGAAAATTTCAACTTTGTTGACATTTGGAACGAGCTTCTTGTCAATTTTCCCTTCATTGTGTCAGTGATGAACGCTCTTTCTGGCAAAACTAGCGCTCAGAGAGAGGAACTACGAGTGAAATACGCATTTATTTACTCTATACTCATGGGTGAAAGATGGCACGAACTCAGTCTTGTGAAGAGAGTAAACACCATCATTGTAATCGAAGGTGGATGTAGTAAACAGGTATCATTATTTTGACACTGATTATTTATCCCTGATCAAGTAATTTCAGTAATGATTGCATGTTTATGTAATGATTGTAATTTTTTGTTCCATGTTCCTTTTCATTTAGATCTATCTCTGGCTGGTAAAAGCTAGTGAATTCATAAAATCATTGTGTTTCAATTCTTCCTTTAAGTTTGTTATAGCTGTTTCTAACTCTTTTTAACTCTTTTTACCTCTTTTTACCCTGCTTGTACTATTTTTCATTCAAGTTATTGTACTACAGGGTAGTTGCCTTGTGAGTTTTCAGATTTTTAATATGTTACTGTTAGATAAAAGATTTGATTTAATCACTTTCACCAGAGTGTGGTGAGGGTCGCACAACAGAGCGAGGCTCCTTATTAAGTGCGCCCTATATCCCACCCTATTTCACTGCATTACCTCATTAGGGCAGGATCAGAACGGAACAT